TCATCGTTTTTTTATGTTATATCCCTAGCATAAGATTGCTTCGTTTTTACTTCTTTCTTTTAATTCAAAAAATATCAAATTTTTTATTGACCATCATCCTTGATTAAAACATACCTATCACCACATTTTTTCCCCCTACTCTCTAAATAAAATATAATAGGATTCCAATCTTTTCAAAACATCCACGAATGTGTATACACACATTTATTTTATTCCACCCTTAGACGCTTGAAATGGTATTAGCTTTGGATCTTCCAAGGAAGACCAGGAAATCGGATCTTTTTTTTTCTCTTTTTTTTTTTTTAGACTTCTGGCAAACATAGAAGAGTGAGTCTTTGGACCACTCAATCAATTTCACTCGAGATTTTTAAAACCAATTCAGTTCTATCCAGAGATTACTACTCGGCCAAATTTGTGAAGCTGAAGAAGAGTTAGTCACTAAAAGAGTGGAGTTATCTATCCAGTTTCAAGCATAGCGGAAGATAGGAAAGGAGGAATCAACAAATCAAGATTTTGTTGTGTGTGTGTCAACAATTTCAACGTATACACGTGTTCGACGATCAAATTCGATACGTATAGGTTTACTGTTAAATTACATCGAACGTGATGTGATATCATAAATTGTTAAAATAATAAAAAAAAACGATTAAAAAATGATACAAAAATTGTTATCAACTACTAGGGAAAATAAGAGGGAAGAAAAAAATATTTATCTTTTATTCGTATTTTTAGTTTTCGAAGTTGGTTTAATATTTCGATTAATACAAATATTTTCGATTTAATTTTTTGCAACATAAAAACCAAAGTTTTTGCCGCTCGATATCGCTCACTCTCGTCGAATGAGTCAAGATTGAAACGGGTAATTATTTATCGAGCGCAATTGAGATTAACGGGCCATGTGTCCGATGTTTGATTATTTTTCTGGCGCCCCAATTAGTGGTCGCCATGCAATCTTACGATACTTTTTTTTCATACAACGAGAAAACGATCATCGGAAGTCGTTAAAAACCCTTTTTTTATGATTCGCGCTACAGATATCCTTCTCATCTCTTTCATACATATCCGATCTCTCGTTAATTCACCACTATTTGTAGCGGATGATTTTCAAATTCAACGTTCAACGAAATATTTTTTTTTTCTCCATCCTCGTAATTTGAAAAATCTCGAAATTATTTTTCGCGTGAAAGATTAGGAGATATCGAAAGTTGTTTTTTTTTTCCTTTTTCGAAATAACAAATCAATTGTTTAAACTAGCCCCTCGTACGTTCATTATTTCGTTTCATGCCGATAGTATTGGAAAGAATGGCAGTTGGTCATTTCAATTTCACTTGGATGGGGAATCATAAAACGAAGGGGAACGCGTACGTATTATCAGAATTTTCAGTCGTGATAATTAATCGATTCTCACCGCGTTTTATCAAAACTTGTTAGCCAACACACGTGCACAACACACGTGTTGATGGCCAAGCAATTTATCATTAAAATATCCAGAAAATATATGGCGTGGCAAAGATTTCTGTGGTAATTAATTCGTTCAGTAATTAAAGGGTAAAAAGAAAAAACGAATATCAGTTTACCTCGATCAACAAAATTAAATATCCAATGAAACTAATTCCTATGAAAAAAAATAAGCTTTACTTTTTCTCCGCGAATGTAAAAATATCGAGGAAATTATTCAGAGAATGGACTTTATATTCGTTCAACTTTACGCGAAAAAGTAAATAACGCAAATGATTCTCTTTGTAAAATTCGAAAATATGCCAAAATGCCTATATTGGCAGGCGTTGAATTACGATGAAAAATTTAAAAATATTGAAAAACACGAAAAAATACAAAGGAAAAAAAAGAAAAAAGAATTCCAAACACCGAAATATCCCTTGATTCCTTTCCCTAAACGAAGTGACGCGAGCGGGCTGATGAAGCGAAACTTTTATAGAACCACGCAACTGAACGATAAAGAAGTAAAAATCGATAATCGAACGCTTAAATGACGTTAATGACAATTCAACGCGGTGCATAACACGTTTCGCAAAGCTTTCCGGAAAGCTTAACCACTGAAAGGAATAAGATTTACAAATAGGAGAGCAGTGAAACCAATATTTTCATCCCCGTGGATTGGAAATTGCATGCAGAATTTTATTATACTGTAATTGTGAATTGAGAAAAAGAAGAGAGAGAGAGAGAGAGAGAATGTTTTGGAGGGATATTTCCAACACGTTTCAAATTGTAATTTTCATTCGCGTTGGTAGATTGAACAACAGGCTTTTAGCAACAGCTGCAACGGACGGCGGTAACTCGATTACACGGACATTTCTTCGCTCGTTTTCGCGTCGCTCTCTATTTCTGAAGTTTGATCTCGTTTTTCGTTTTTATGCAAACACCCTCGCTCCGCCAGCTTACCTGCTTAATCCCTCCCTTTCTCGAATAACGATCGCAATTCGCAAGAGTCATCTATTACCCTCACGAAAAGATCTGCCACCCTAACAACCCCCTATCATATTTCCCAAAGTTCCTGCTCACGAAAGTTCCATTAAAAAAAACTTACGATTCTCGTCGTTCGTTTCTCCAGGTCTCTGCCTGTGCAGAGATTACAATTCCTTCCAAAATTACTGGCAGATTTGAATGGCTCGTTCCATTAATCCACGTGAAAAACGTGGAACACACGTATGCCCGCAAAGTGATAGCCAGACCACTGCGTAATCCTGTTTAATCCAATCGGGGCCGGCATCGCGCTTAGCCTCATTTAACGGCCCTAAATGTCTTGGCTCTCGATTTACGAGCTCTATCTTTGTATCAGGATCAGTCGTCGTAACGCGCCTTCGCCGAGAATAAATACGTATTGTAACGCTGCATCCAATCGAATATCGGTCTAGCCTCGTGATTGAATCCGTAAAAAGGGTTTATAGGCTTACCGATCCTGGAAGCTTTATCGTGCCGTTCCTTCTTCCTTCCTTCCATTCGCGTGTCGTAAAATCCATTTGGCAAAATAACTGGCTTCTCGTGTCGTGTATATACACGCACGCATTATAGTTCGATTTTCACGATTCGATGGAAGAAGGATCTTGGGCGTGAGATTACGCGTCAAGTTTGAAAGATAAAGGCGTTCGAGCGTGTCGCAGCGTGAAATTGTCGGGGTGAATTAAAGTGGTGGGTCGATTTGATCGTGTGATATCGTGGTTGCGGGATCAGCGAATTCAAATGGATGAGAGGCGATCTTAAGTAATTTCTCGGGAAGCAAACACCGTTCTTATTTACGAAATCGAATAGAAAATATCTTTGTTGCGACTTGGACCATGATTTAAGAAGTATAATCTGCCGTTCAACGCGTACAATCGCTTCGAAATTGGTCAACTTTTCTGAGAGGACTTGTTGTTGTTCTCGTAGAAAGAATATTCGCTAGGGTTTCATCGTATCGGGTTTTTACAGCACGAATCGTGTGCAAAGTTTTGGACGGGAGTTTATGAAACTGAATTGTTGTGTCAAGAGTTTTTTCAAGAGAGGTTGAGCCGAGACAAATTTTTACAAGTGTGACTTCCTCGTTTCGAGATATAAAATTCTTTCGTCGAAGGTACAATTGTAACTTTGTCTGGTGAGCACCGGTGAGATCTCATTGTCTCTCGCGGAGCAACATTATTCAGCTCACAAAAGAGGCAAGAGAATACTCTGGCGTATTCATTTTTCCAGAACAACAATGGAAGTAGCGAGTAAATGCTTGAATATAAATTCTCTCCTCTCCCGATTAAGAGCTTATTTCACGTGGAAAAATAAATAATATTTAAATAAGAATTCGCCAATATGTTTGAAATTTAATTTCATTCGGTGGAAAGGTGGAGAATTATTTTATTTCAATACCCGGCTTCGCAATTTGCGGTTCCACTTAACCCTACCTTAATATCGTTCGTTCTATTGTGATCCTGACCCATTTAGATTCCAGTATTATATCGTAAAACAAAACAAATAGAGGATCGAGGAAAGGAAATGCGCGTAATACCTAGTCTAGTTACGTGACACAATTTTTAAAATCGTTACGAATTTCCTTTATTTAGAATATTCGGAGAATTCCATTTAAAGTCTTGAAGCTTTCGCATCTTAATTTCGAAAGAAAATATATAAATTACAGAATGGCGATGCGAGAAACGACTGTTATCATTAACGACTAAAATTAAACCCAAGTATTTCCAAGCTGATATCCCCCAAGCTGGAACTCTCTAATTGCGCAGAAATCTGATAGCGCGCGCACACAGTCATTATTGTTTTCAAAGAAATTTCAAGGGTTTGAAGCACTCTTATCTTCATGCATCGACCGTGTCTTGAGGTCTCAAGGGAATGAAAACGCTCTGCCCACGCAACGGGGTAGACTTTGAGTCTACGAGTTTGAGACTTGGTGGAGCAGAACCGTCGATCTCGAGACGACGTTACAAGAAACCAAGCGACTTTTTCACGGCTCGTAAAACGCTGGAGGCACGGTATAGAAAGTACCACGGCTAAAAATCCTCGAGCTTGGTTAACGAGGTCACGTAGCACGGTGAATTAGTGTAACTCTTTATCGCGACAGAAATGCACTCCTACACCTATCTCTCTCTCCCTCTCTTTTTTCCTCCCCTGCTTTGCGAATTTATCGATAACCTTTTTTATATAATGCACAGCACAGAATCAGCAACGGAACTCTCATTAAATTGGACTTAGTTCATGGCGAGCGCGTCTCCAAAGAATCATCGTATCGAGTCGCTTATTAAACCCCCATCCCTTTCCTCTTTTCTTATAAATATAAATCCACCCTGACATTAAACTTCATCACCTTTATCTTTTCGTATTATTTTCTTCTAAAAAAAAAAAAGGAGAAGCTCCTCGCTTAAAAATTACACGCGTCCCTTCCGATCCGTGTAATTTCCTTTTCGCCCCGTTTCCGAGAGAGCGCGTGAATCATTTCCCCATTTACGGTGGCGTTCCGCTTCATTTGCCGAGAACTTTGGCTAACACGTTTCTTTTCCAATTTCCAGGGAGCAGAGATTGCTCGAACGAGGAACGACGAACCGCCTGCGGCCGTTGGCCGGCGGAGGGACCCGATCGGGAAGATATGAAAGGCGAACGATCGCCCATTTCAGTGGGGACCAGTTTGGGAGTGAAAGGATGAACAAAAATATGTCGAAAGCTGGAGCAACGGTATCTCCGTTATTCCCCCCGTCGCGGGCCACACCGTCCCCCTCGTCTGTCCTCAGAGTAACTTCCGCGATCGCCTCGACCACGGATTACACGAGCATAGGGAGTATGTACGGTGTGATCGATCAGATGGTGTTGAAAGAGGAGGACGAGGAACAGTTGAGCATGGGAGAGAAGTACGTGCCGTACGAAGATCGGCCGGAAACTTATATCGTGCCGATCGTGTTCCTCCTGATTCTTCTGATCGGGCTCACAGGAAACGGGGTGCTCGCGCTCACCATACTGCGGCACAGTAACATGAGGAACGTTCCAAACATTTATGTATTCTCGTTGGCGCTTGGAGATCTCTTGGCACGTGTCCATTCTTGGTGAAAACTTGTTCTTATTCTTCGTGACCAATTTCCTTCGTCGATGTTTCGATATTTCACGATATGTTATTCTTTTAAAAAAATTCCGTAATATTTCGTTTCTCATTTTACGATATTGAGATTTTTCCTTTTCCATTGTTTTTTTTTTTTTACGAGAGAGAGAGAGAGAGAGAGAGAGAGAG